TAGCTTTTGTATAAAATAGAAGCTGAATATACTCTGGGCTGAGATCTCTGCAGTCTTCAGTCCGATAAAAGTGATAAAGAAGTTAAATTATGGATACAATCACGCATAGTAACAAAGGCCCGTTTCTGTTAGTCAAGTATAGTGCTCAGCAATTTTAAGTGCTTTGTGAGACGCTGAAGGGAGGGAATCTCACAGAAGAGACAAACTCACTTTCGTTTCTAACCAAAACTGTTACTTAGCTCACACACAGATATGGGCGCATGTTCCTCAGGCATATTACTTGTGCTATAAAATATTAAGTATGAAGTATCCTGAGTGAATAAAGAACATATGCCTGTTTCTAAGTCAAATATCATTTTAATTATTTTTCTTTCATTAGTATATGATGTAAATATTAAACATCTAGTAATTTAATTTTCAGACCATTACCACTTTGAGTTATGTCTATATTATTGGCATCTTCAGTGTAAAACTGGCAGTACTGTTAGCTCTGATACAAGAATCTAATTTTTTTTTAACAGCGGAACAGAGCACTAATTTTGTTATATACTAAAGGAGTTTTACTTTCTTTGCCTTTAATGTACTTGTCGTATTAATATCCTTACAAATAATATCATTAGAAACACCTCTTCTTTATATAATATATATAATACATACACGACACAGTTGATAAATGAAAAAGCCATGTTTAAACTCAAAACAAACTACAAATAATGTAATCCAAAGAAACAGTCTTTGAGTTTTGCTATATAGTTGGTCTTAGTGGTTTGATTATGCTATAATAAATATTAAGGGAAAAAACAACCTGTCATCATATTGGTGACTAAGGAGCGATACTCTTCATGCATTTGCAGTATTATCAGAAGGGTCTGTTTGCTTCAGGCAAGACAGATTTCTAGGAAAATGTACTCTGAATTTATCAATCAGGACCTGGACTCTAGTAGATTTAGGGAATCCGTTTGATTATGATTCTTATACACATACATGCACATTACAGAATAATTTATTTTTTAAACTGTTCAATTTTCATAGAATTTATTTTAGGAGCAACAGGATATAATCTAGAGAAATTGGTTTTATAGTTAATAACATGTACTGTAAGTGCCATAGTAAATAATATGTATTTTATTAATCATTTATCAAACTATTTTGGTTTTTTATGGATTATTCATCTTTAATTTATGAAAAGGAGTTCAGAATCAAAATTTTAGACTAACAATTTTATGGACTTCTAATATAGAGGGTTTTCTTTTTTCACAAAAGAAAAATTATAGTAAAGTTTCCATGTAGTAAACTGTACTTTCAATGTGCTATTAATAATAGTTGCCTTTATTCTTAATATGAAGCAGAACATGCTAGTTTTTGTGTGATTGGCATTTGAAAATTGATTCAAAATCCATATTAAATAATTATCATTAATTAATTAGTGATATCTTAATGGAGACCTTTTGGTTCCTCATAGTACATTCTGTACTTTTGTTTTAGTGGATTTGAGGTTATTGTGAGTGTTATATCATCTTCGCCGTTTGCTAATCACAGGGTTTCTGTTACTTTTTAGTATCTAGCAACGCCTCTCAGAAGGATGTGTTTGATTTAAAGGTCACAGCTGAATTAAATGCATTTAATATCTTTATCTGTGATCAGAAATGTAACATTGCAGATATTAAAATACATGGTAAGTTATTATTCCTTGTAGGTATTTCTGTTTCTTTACATAAACACACAGGAAAAATGAGCTTGTACATGGTAGATTTCCTATAAGTCATCTTTTGGTTTACTTATATTGGTGACTTATACAGACTTTTCAAAGGTATACCTTAAAATGCTAGAAGTAAATTTGTTGTGATGCATTGCTGACTTGAGACATTCTTTATGTCTGTATGTAAAAAATTGCAGAGTAAATCTAAGTTTTAATCTCTTACTGTTCTGACTGCGTTTTTCAGAATAATATAACTTTAAATTGAGAAATGGATACATGGTAACATCTTACTGAGTAAAACAGAGTCATTATCCTTATTTCTGTGGACTTTTGTGTACATACCACATCAGGAAAGGAAGTCTCTAAAAGAAATCTTGTAAGCTTTTCCCATTATTAGCTTGAAACAAGAAAAAAGTATTATACATGGTGTAATGGTTTAGGTTATACCATAGGTTCTGAAGTCATCTTGCCAGGGTTCAAGTTCTGACTCTAACACTGGCTGATCTTGAGCAAATTAATTTACCTTTCTATACTTTAGTTTCCTCTTCTGTAAAATGGAGATACTAATAATTTTCATGAGGTTGTTGTGAGGATTAAGTAAAACTTATACATTTATGTATGTTTAGAAAAGTCCCTGGTACATAGTACACATATTACTGTGTATCTTTCATGGGGGGAATGGTAATGGTTTGAATTTGTTACTGGGTCTCAGCTTCAGTTATTCTCTGTGTACTGAGGAGCAGTTGTAGAAACCATTATCCCCTTAGAAATTATAAGAATGACAAAGAAATTTTTTTGGAGAGAAATCTTAGAAGACTATATTCTAGATACAGTTTTGTAGAAATAAAAGTACTTATTTATCAAATGGTGTTCATTTACTTTTAGTTATTGGAGTATCAGTTTTAATAACATAATAAACTTTTGTGAGACAGATATTTTAACAAATATTATGTCTTCCTAAAAGACCACTTCTGGTCTTGCCAGTGGACAGGATATTTGTGTCTGTAGAAATGTGATTAATTTTCTTTGAAATTTGATATGTGCATGTGGTTTTTTTATTTGTTTTAAAATTTCTACAACTTTTATGTAGGAGAACCTGTATCTCTTAAAGGTATTATTATCTTTTTTAGCTATCTTATACATGGAAGTTGATAGCATTAATATGTCTAGTAATGGATAATTTTTATTTACTCTATATCTTATCAGTATATTATTGAACTTAAACATCACTGAATTGGTTCACTTGGATTGGGTGAAAAGTTTGTAAATGTTATGTTTCCCCTAGGATTGGATGCCTCTATTTCTGTGAAGCCAAAGCAGACTGATGTGTTTGCCAGACTTAAAGATATCATAGTTACAAATGTAGATTTGCTGTCCATTCACAAAAAGGTAATGAAAAATACATTTCTATGTTGAAATTTATTTTGTTCCTTGGATTTGAGATGCTGTGATTCATTTGTTTAGAATACTTTTATTAGTTGTGTGTCATGTGGTGGGTGCTTTGTTAGGGGTTAGAGATGAAAACAGTAATGGTCTGCTTTCACGTTGTTTATAGGTTAGGTCTCCTGTTCGCAGTGATTTGTAAAAGTTATTTCTGAACAGTTAAGTTACTGATATTTCCATGGATCAAATGATTTTTATAGAAATAGGAGAAAGTTATTGTCAAGTAAAATATTTTTAACTAATAATTTTCAAGGTTGAATTTATATATTGCTTCTTTATATATCAAGGATTTTGTGATAAGGGAACTTACTTATAATACATTGATAAGGGCTATACAGCTCTTTTGATACAATAACAAGTTAATCTAATACTTTTAGGCCGTCTCTATTTTGGGAGATGAAGTCTTTAGGTTCCAACTGACTCTTTATCCTGACGCCACAGAAGGAGCAGCCTATGCTGATATGTCTAAAGTGGATGGCAAACTTAGTTTCAAAGTGGGTTGTATTCAGATTGTTTATGTTCATAAATTCTTCATGTCTCTTTTGGTAAGTTTATTGTTTAAATGTATTTATTTCTTATTAAGGCTTAAATATTTTTGCCTATGCAATTGAACCTAGATAGTATAAATTGTCATTGATAGGGCTATGTGGTAAACGTCCAAATACTGAACAGAATGTTATAGTTTAAGGAAATCCTTTAGATGATGGTTAACCAAATGAGTTTTTAAAATTACTGTTTTGAATATATAAACTATCATTCTCTAACATTTCCATAGTTATGGATTTTGAAAATACTTTTTGATGTTTTAATTTAGGCTTTTCAGTGTTACTTGTTTGATGAAATACTCTTAAGAGTATTTAGCTAAAAGAATTTTTTAAGGAAGCTGACAGGCATTCAGAGGACTAATATTGGAACTTGCACCTTATAACTGTGATCAACAAGGCCATAAAATTCTTTTCTTCTAATGTTATTTATTTCTATTTAAGTGTCATGGGCTGAAGAGTTTAAATCTGCTTATACCTCTTATCAGGAATACTAATTAAAACTTATAAGCCAAGAATTTCTACTTAAACTATCATGTTCACTTTTCTAGAGAGTAATTTATTTGGAGCAGAATGGGGGGAGATTAAGTTACTTTGTATTATTAATAGATGAACATCAAGAATATTGCTTCTCAGAATGTTCTTTTCCTCATTGGGAAACATCTTTCAGTTTTCAGTTGAAATTGAGATGAAGTGCATCTCACTATAAATCAAGAACCTTTGATTCTCACTAATGATTACAGGGTCATAGACAATTAACCATCTTTCCTCGTGTGTGAGTACATTTTAAAAAAATCTTTAGAAATAAGCTGGCAGAACCTTAGTTTCTAAGAGTAAACTTTATTCCTGTGATGTAGCAATACAGAATTGAACCTACTTTTGGAGAAGTACAGTGCTCTCTCTCCTCCATTTAAATCTGAATTTAAAAT